AAAGGAGAATGAAACTAATTGATATGACCAGTGCCGGATTTACATATAAGCTAAACAAGCTATAGCTTAGGACCCCACTATCTTGGAGGCCCCCCAAAAAATTAAAGGTGAAAAACCGGATGTACATTTCCAAAATATAAGATAAAAAACAAATAAAATAAAACGTACATACAGTTAGAGCTTAATAATTATTTCACTATTAAAAACTTCTTAATTGTATTTCACCATTAATATACTTCTTTTTAATTGTATTTCAGTTCAACAATTACTTTGATTAAAATACATATTCTGTTATGTGCAAATGGCTTTAGGTACCTATTAAGTCCATAAATTACCATATAGCATACATTCAACACAAAAACCAGTGACAATTTGTTGTTGACAAAGGACAGCTGGACATATAAAGGGCCCCATTACCTTCAGTAGCTTAGGGCCTCATCAAACCTAAATCCGGCCCTGGATATGACCACTTGAACTGGGGTGTTACCAGATGGGCTCAGAACAATGTAATGGTCTTGTCTGCTAGTCTCTCTCCAGCAGTGGCTTCCACCAGCTAGTACAAGGGGAGAGTAAAACCTGTATAGGCTCAGTAAACATCTCCAGGGGTTGATCCTTCTTCTCATCCGCAGGCAATTAAAACTATTTAGAGCCGCTCAGTGGGGAAATGCACCGTGAGAGGGCAATTGCTTTAACCAGAGAGGAAATTGGGGGTGGGGGGTGAGAAAAGTCTAGATGTCTTAATTGATTTTACACACCACAAAATTTAAAGCTGTTCCAATCCGGTATCTCTTTGAAGAGATGATTTCTGCTTTTCTGAACTGAATTACGATCACTGTATTCAGTCTTTTCCTACCGGGGCACTCCAGCTGTTTCTGGACTACAGCTCCCATCAGCCCCAGCCAGCACTGTGGTCCAAGAGCAGCTGGAAGACACCAAATTGGAGACGGCTTCTCTATTCGATGTATGGTAATTGCTTAAAGATTCCGCCTCTATGGAGCCATCTGTAGGGCTGCTCTGCTCTAAGCTTCCGAAAGGAAAGAGCAGGATATAAATGTAATAAAATTAATCCTGTTCCCCATGCAAAGCATGTAATTATTTAAAATAGTTCTCGTCTCTCACCATATAAAGGCAGCCAGATTTTGGAAAATGTTTGAGTTAGTTAGTTTGGACTCTTGGTACTCAAGGGTCTGGCAGACAGCCTTCTTAGGAAAAAATTCTCATAAACTGAAAGTCTCTAAGGGGTCTAGTAAAAACAAAACAAAAAACAGCCCCCCCCCCCTTTTGCATTATGGTTTAATTTATGTCATTTACAAATAAGGAGGCATATGGATGGATTATCCCTCCAGCTAATGGGTTACATGAAAATACTATCAATAAGATTCAACACACCCATGCTATTTTCTTTTGTTTTATGATATTTTATTTTTAATCATATCTCTGTTCTTATGGTGTATACATATGAAAGCAAGGGAAATAAGAATAACGCAAATTTTTTTACCCTGAGGATCATCTAGTCCATCCCCCTGTAATGCAGGAATCTCAACCAGATCATACATGACAGATAGCCACCCAACCTCTGCATAAAAACCTCCAAGGTAGGAGAGTCCACCATGTCTTGTGGGATCTGTTCCACTGTCAAACAACTCTTACAGTCAGAATGTTCTTCCTGAAGTTTAGTCGGAATCTCCTTTCTTGTAACTTGAAGCCATTGGTTCTAATCCTATTCTCCAGAGCAGAAGAAAACAACTTGCTCCATCCTCCATGTGACAGCCCTATAGATATTTGAAAATAGAGACTACACTTCTGTTGATGCTTGCTTTGTTGCTGCATCACACTGTTCACTCATGTTAAGCTTGTGATCAACTAAGACCCTTAGATCTGCCATCTCTCCCAGAGTGCTGCTTCAGGTGACTATTTCAGAAAGGCTCGTGATAGTACTGGCCCGGGCAACTCCTATGGGTTTTCAGCATCATCTGAATGAAGACTTAGCTATTTGTCCAGGTAAACAAAATGTAAGAAGAGCTCAACTAGGCCAAGTCAAAGGAGCATCTGTTCTCTGTTCTTTGAGAACATCCTGTTCTCTGTTCTTTGAGAACATCCTGTTCTCAAAGTAGCCAGTCAGATACCTTTTCTGGAAATCCTACAAGCGGGACTTGAGCACAATAGTACACTCCCCACTTGTGACTCCCAGAAACAGATTGCCTCGGACAGTAGAAGTAGAACATAACCATAATGGCTAATAGTCATTAACAGCCTCTCTCCATGAACTTGCCAGATTGTCTTTTTGACTTGTTCAAATTAGTGGTCATCATTACATCTTGTGGTAGCAAATTCCATAGTTTAACTATGCACTGTGTGAAGAATATATACATAACAATGTCCTCACACCATGCCAATGTCTTCCACTGGTAGGGACAGGAAAGCGTTCAGCACAATATCATAAGGACACCAGTATGAAAGAGCACAGGATGTTTTTACAACCTTTGCAGATGTATCATGAAGATTCTGCCTACAAGACTCCAGAATCAATGGATTAAACACTACAGAAGCAAATTTGGCAGCCGTGTAAATCTGTTTGAAAGTCATTCTAGAATGCACCTTGAGGAAACAATCACAAGTCATTCATCCTGTGCTGGAATCCTGTTTGGAAAAGAACATCCTTCTCTAAACATAGTTACATTCCCAAAAGATCCTGCTTACACCACATTTTCTAATTGTGGGAATAGGTGTTAAATTGGAGGTGTCTAAGGGCACACACACATTGAGTCAATGGAACACTTCACTACACGTTGAATGTGTTCAACAGAGATTTGCTCTAATGTGTCAGCTCATTCATAAAGGTGCAATTAAATATCACATCATTAAGGGACTGTATTTTTCCCCTAATTATCCTGATTATATTTTGCTGGCTCATAAAAAAAGCAGCGCCAATACAATTCACACTTAAAAATCAACATATTTCTTTCTTGGTTGGTAGGAATCATCCTCCTGATTATTTTCAGCTATAACTTTTAACACGTTTAAACATGGAACTTTCTTGCATTGTTTTTTTTAATGGCATTTTTATGAGATATTATCATAATATCTAAGAAAAGCACTTTATAGAAAGCAACTCATTCTCAGTTGCTTCAATCTGTTAAAAGAGAGTTTGAAAGAGATGCCTCAAGACTCCTTGTTTATTTCAGCTAGAATGTTTCTAAGCTTAGTTCAGCCTTCCAGATGCTTTGGACTACAACTCCCATCAGCCCCAGTCTCCACTCCAAAACACCTGGAGGGAACCAGCCAATTATAAATACACCGAACCCCAATTAACTACGTCATGTGATGCAAAAGTGTTTAACTTTAATTGGAACAGGGAAAATTAAATTGCCACTGACAATTTGACATTTCCAGCATGTTTCAACTCATGTTTGCACCAAGCTGACCTCACCACTACCTCACCCCTCTGCCTCACAGTAGATCACACTGATGCCATTGATAGGGGGTCAAGTAAGTGCCACCACCCCACAAACCGCCACCATTCCAGTGATAAATTTGGGTGGAGTACCGGGTGATAATAATCATTTTGAGTCATTGATTAGGTAATGTGTCACCTAGTGGTTAGAGGGAATGACACACTCCTCTGACATAGCAAAGAAGATTACCGTCTTCAGAAGAAAATGATATATACATACAGTGCTTTTTTCTATTAAAAATATGTTTAGGGGTACTCTCATTTTCCTACTCATATTGAAATACTGCCCCTCAATGAGGCGAAACTTAGATTCACAAAATGTTTAGGGGCAGTGATTTTTTTTCTTTAAGAAATGTTTAGGGGTACTCTCATTTTGACTCAAGAAAATCTCCATTTTATAGTTCAAATCTAGAAAAATAAATACAGTAAATGGACAAAAGTTCAAAGATTCACAAAATGCGTAGCCATGCGTACCCCCAGAAAAAAACACTGCATACATAAATACTTACATACATCATTTTATTTGTATGCCGCCTTTCCACAGTATAAACAATGTTCAAGGTGGCTTTCAAAGTGAAAAAAGTTATACAATTCAAAACACAGCAAAAGTAGTCAGAAACAATAAATAAAACATCAAAAAGTACACAACCAAGTGGAACAATTTTCCACATACATCATAATAAAGATGCAAAATAAAGATACAAAATTTTAATATCCAATAACAGCAACAACCCTCAGCTCAACAAAAGCCCCTAAGTGATATCCCAGCCCAAGAGTTGTCAAAAAAATGAACTTGCTTATCAGATGGCCTTATTCAAATCTCCAGTATATTTCAGTGGAAGCTTTCCTACCTTGTAGTCTAAGCATTGTATTGTGGCATAACCTTTCACAGAATAGAATCCACTTTGTCTGATGCCAGAGGTTGTACAGTCGACAACAGGTTGTGCCAAAATAAAGCAGTTGATTTTAAGATGCTACAAGACTCTTCTTGACTCTTTTTGCTGCAGCTGACAAAACAAATTCTAGAGGGACAGATGTGTTAGTCTGACGCAGCAAGTGCATACATAACTCATTTATGATGGAATGAGATACTTGTTGTTCTTATTTATTTTATTTTTGCATAAATAAATAAATGTGTGGAATCTGTGCCCTGTCTGTCTGGGTATTTGGGAAACCAGTAGGTCAGGACATGGAGCATCTGTGAGAAAGGAAGCACCCAAATTGGCAGCAAGGTGGGGTTGTTGGGATGGCTAACCCTTCATTTGAATGCAAATGTTGCTTGAGAGCAGCCAGTTATCTGTGACATCAGATAGAACCTAGTAAACTGTTGGCCCAGCACCTGGTAATACTATTGTTAATCATGTGTAGTAAAGAGACCTCGGGGCTAGCATGAGTCATTCATAGAGCCAGTTGGGGCTAGAAAAAGAGAGTGAGAGAAAGAGGAGGGGGTGTGACATCAAAGGAGTAGAAGCAGGATGCCTTGGCAGGACAAAGCTAGGGTATGAGCATCATGTATGTGAGTTATCTTTTGGAAAAAGAAGGCAGCATGTATCCAGGATCCGTAAGGTGCAACAGCAGCAGCAGCAGCAACAACAACAACCTGCCGGCACAAAACTTTGCCTCCACAACACCCTACGCAGATTACATGGGATACCATCCAATGCAAAATATGGACCACCGTGGACAACCTTCAGGGGCTTGGGGAGCACATTATGGCCTGCAAAGGGAAGACTGGAATGCTTATGGCCCAGCACCTTCCAACACTGTGACCGCTACGCAAATGAATGGATCATCTCCCGGGCAGGTTTCCTATAGTTCTGCTGATTACAACTCCTTGAATCCCGCTGGATCGGGGGCTTTACCTTCTGTAAATACAATCAATACAGAGCAAATCTCTCCCCACAGTCAAAGACACAGCTCTTATGAATGGATGAGGAAAACAGTCCAATCCACTTCAACAGGTATGTCGGCGAGGACTAATCTATACACGGAAATCTCTAGCATTATTCTGTGCCATCTCACCCACACACCTCTGCAAGGGAATACAAAACTCTTGCTCAAGATGAAAAAGATTGCTTCCCTAGACGTTGTCTATGCTTTTGAACAAATTTGATTTATTGTCCTTCTGATATCAATGAAAGATCAGATATAATGAAATAATCACCACATGCAATGTGCAGAAACAAGGGTTTGGGGGAGCGGGATAAGAGAATTTTTAATTGAAAGTGAACTGGGGTAATATCCATCTAAGTCATATTTAAAGAGATTCACTGAAATAAATGGACTTAAAGTGAATGATTTCAATGGGGGCACTCTGAGTATGACTTACGTTAATTGATTTCAATGGGTCTACTTTGAGTATGGTTTAGCTTGTTATTACCCAAAGTCTTTTAAATGAGATAATCCGGCAAATATTTTTTTTAAAAATATTCAACATAACCTTATGCCTGTTTATAGGAATTAAGTCTTACTCCCATATAGGACAGCAGACTGAAACACGCTGTTTTGGTAGCACTGTAATTGAATATATGGCTCATTTAAAAGTAAGCTTCTCACATTTTCTGCACACTTGTATGACTGAAAAACTAAAATGGTCTTGAAGGAGAAAAGTTATATTCACATAAAGCTTCACATCTTCTGAGGTCTACATGAGAGGGAGGTCTGCAGCATCACACCATGGTTATATGTTCAATTTATAGGGTTTCATGCATTAACACTTCAAATGGAAACAGTAGATGAAAGGTCATCCTTCACTTTAAAATGCTAGGCATGCTCAGAGGCTGCAGGGATCTAACACACACAACCAGCTTGATCTTTTCATAGGAGTTTCAATAGTGAGCTGGTGAAATAAAAATTGTATAAAATATATCTCGGAGCTCCAGGAAAATATTTGTTAGATAATGGACTAGAATAAAGGTGTTGGCGGGGTGTGTGTGTGAGGAGGAACTGCCAGATTACTAAACACTCAGTAATTATAGTATATGGACAATGAATACGGTAATAAAATTCTGGTTTTAAAGTGCTGCATTAAAAAGAGAATCCTGAACAACCACAGCTACTGTGTGGTTTGACTGCGGCTATTAAGAGACCGTGGAAGTTAATTGCTGCAATACCTGGTGCTCTATAACATAATGCATAATGCCAGGATCCCAAAATGAGCCAGGCACACTTTTGCAGGCAATCCTTCAAATAACAATAGTGCTATTGGGGGGGGGGGGTGTTAAGTACTGCAAAAACTTAAATGTATTTAGTTTTCAATTGAATCCATTGGTTATGAAAACAGTAGTGTAAACATATTACTCCTTGCTGATTATGTAAAGTACAGGAAACTCTGATCAGTGATTTGAACATCTAAGGGCTCAACTGTGATATTATGGCTTACTGTTAATCAAGCCTCATGGAATGCTGGGGCATGTAAATCTCAAGGGGCTAATCAATGGTTTAAATTATTTCTTCCAAGTGAAGGACTGTGGTAAAGTATCTCTCTAAAAACAGGCTACTGGAAAGGTCTCTATTGAAATAACTTTCTACATTGCTTTTGAGGCCTCTTATTATTATATTCCTCCTTCCGTCAAAGGAATTCATGGGTTCCCTTCTCATTCTATCTTCACAAAAACCTTGTGAAGTAGGCTAGGCTGAGAGGCAATAACCGGTTAAGTGAGGATTTGAACCCTTATCTCCCGGAACACTCTAACCGCCACACCGACTTTTAAAAATGCTGCTATGTAAGTACCTAGAGATGCCATTCTTAGGTTTCAGCACAGTCCCCCTCTCTGGAAGTTCAATCTCTGAGGCTCAAATCCTACACATGTTGAAGCTTGCAATCTCAACTCCATTTACCTCTGAATTAATATGCTTTGCTTATGAGTAGACATGATTAGGATTGCACTGTTAGCCACATTTGAAACAGGGTGAAATTTTACTTACAAGCAAACATGCACAGAATATTGCTGCATGACTCCTTGTCAGTGCCCAGCCTACACATACAATAGAACAATTAGATCTGTCTGATATATCTAACCAGACACAACAAAGAAAGTACGTCTTCACACAGCACACGGCTAAACTATGGAATTTACTCCAATAATGTGATGGCCACCAGCTCAATAACTGTGTTCTACTTCCAGTGTCAGAGACAGTATGTCCCAATACCAGGTGCTGGGATTCACAAGTGGTGAGAGTTGCTGTTGCTTGCTGGCTTCCCATAGGCATCTGATTGGCCACTGTGAGAACAGGTTGCTGAATGAGGCAGGCCTTTGGCCTAATGCTGTTTTCTTCTTATATTTTGATGTTAACAAAAATAACAAATTCCAGAGGGGTAGCTGTTTTAGTCTGTGGCAACAAAAATAACAAGGAGTCTCGTGGCGCCTTGAAGACAAATAAACACTTCCTGCCTCACAATGCAAAACCAGATTGGTAGACAATTCTAACTAAAATTAAACACACCATGCTAGAGCCCTTTAGAACCTAACAAATTAATAATATAAGAACTGTCCTGTAAACAGGAACCGATTCAGCTGCCCGGTCCAACATTCTGTCTTCTGCAATAGCCAACAAGGTGTCATGAACATTCCATGAACAGTGCACAACAAAGCAGTGCTTGTTTGCTTCCAGAAATCAGGGCAGCTGATAGAACCTGCCCTAAGGATATTTGGCAGCAAAGTGCTTATTCAAATGCTCTTTTTGGATGCTATACTCTCTACCATCAGGACTATCAGCAGCTCTTCTTTGTACAGAATCCAAGTGGCCAACAATTAAGGCAAGAACACTCAGTTAAAGCATATTTAAAAAATTGTTACTATTGAGCATTTTTCCTCCACTGTGCTATATGGAATTAGGTGATAGCCAACTCTGGAAAGCAGCTTGTCAATTTTTTTTTAGATTATTATTATTTTCCAGAACTGAGCTCTGCTTTGACCTTGAGAAAGAGATTGGATCTTCTGGAAAGAATCCAAATGGAACCTACAACCAATTAGAAACACAATTCCCCCCCCCCCCCGGTATATACTCTTGAGAACAGAACCTTTTAGAGCTAGTTATCTCACCAGTTTCCTTATAAAATGTCTTTACTGAGCTAAGTTTCTAAGTGCTGCCCACTGCAGTCTTAGATAGCCGCTACAACAAGGTAGACACATGCAGACAAACTTTGTGTTTGTGGTCAACATCAAGTCATCTGTTAGCAGCCAGAGCTTTCAGATTTAAAGTTTTAAAATATGACAAAACCAATATGATGCATGCCTTGTAAATTTTTGACTTGCTGTCAAGCATATACTGCTACAAAGACTTGGTAGTTAACATAGCAGATGGCCAAACTTCTCATATTTGGTTCCGTTGCTTTATATAGTGTATTTAGCACCAACAGTGGCAGATGCTCCCCTGTGAGAAGAGAAGTACTAGGTCAGAGGTTGTCAAACTGCTTTCAAGGGTATTGTGGGCTTTCAAGAAGTTTATCAGGGGTTCCTTGATGAGTGTTAACACTGGCTAGCTTTCTCTGCAAAACAGTTTGACCAGAAGCTGAGCACTTCTTTTGGAGTATGTTTGCCCAGAGAGAACAGACCTGCCTTTAAATAATAAATATCCCCTTCAAATGCAGAGAGCCTATTGTTTTGGTTTGTACCAGTTGGGCCTCCACCCTTTTGCCATCACATTTCATTATTGGTGCCACCTTCTCATGCCACAATGGAGAAGGCACTGTAGAGTTCAGGTACTGCTTGCAGGCTTCCCATGGGTATCTAGTTGGCCACTGTAAGAACAGGATGCTGGACTAGATGGGCCATTGGCCTGATCCAGCAGGACACTTCTTACACTCTCGTGCTCACATCACTCCAGATCTTCCTCTGCTGCTGCTGTATGAGGTTTATGGGTTTTTTCAAGGTACAGCCTCATGGTGAGGAGAAACTTGGTCCATGCCATGTGCTGTGTCTGTGTCTTTTCCCTGGGATCTGCTTTGTTTTCTACCAGAATCTTAAAGTTCACCAAACAGAGTCAGGTGCAAAATAGTGCATAAAGAGGCCCAGTTTAGGTGTAACAATCACAGTCCAAAAAACCAGGGTTCCATGGTTATTAGGTCAAGAGCTAGCATTATGTATATATGTGTGTGTGCTTCCTATTGCACTTCCCTCCCTCCTTTGTTTTCTTGCAGGCCTTAATGCAATATTTCCAGGGATTGTTAATCCATTATCGGTTTCAGGAAATCCAATTTTTAAGAGAAGGGACTTCTCTTGTTACTACTGCTAAACAATAAAGGGATTTTGTTTGTTTGTTTACAATCAAGCAGTACTGTATATAAATTGTGTTAAATAATTTAAAAAATACTGTAAATCACTGAAAGGTCTGTCAGTAGATACCAAATCTCCTCTCTGCATACAAACACAACCCCACTCAAGAATTTTCTGCAGTAGGCGGAAAGGTAAATGTAGAGTAAGTTTCCTGAAAGTGGAAAGTTTAAAAGCACATTTATACCACTTTAGCACTCATTGCTTTCCCCAAAAAATCCTGGCAGCTGCAGTTTACCACTCATTCCCAAAACACTCTTAGCAAATTATAGAGGGTGATGTGATTGGTGTAAATAGATGAATACTGACTTTTTATAATAATTTTTTATTAGTTTTCAATTACAGTACAGCCCAATAATAGCCTCATTATAACAATACCAATTTATAATACAATTATTAATAACAATCATTCAAATACCGAATTATACAATTTAGATAAAGTGGGGCCCCTCATAACAATCTACCCCCAAACGTTTTTCAGACATCTGCTTTCTTTCCTTCTCCTATCAGGCCTGCTACCCCCAAGGCCTCTTAACTTAGGAATCCTGTACAATGGACTGTCCCTTTTCCCTATGTTGCTTTCCTGATTCTAAGCACATGCAGATATGAGAGTCAGGAGGGAAAATAGCAAACTTTAGCTCCCCATAGCCAAAATACACACAAAAGAGTTTTGTCCTTTAACTGTAACTCTGTACAAGTTGCTCTGATTGCCCTTGACACCATATGTGGAGATATCTCCACATACTTGCGGTTTTCAGACTTCCTCCACTGTCATAGGCAGAAAGCCCATGTACACCTGTTGGTGGCAATCACAAGTGGGAAGAGTGCTGCTGCACTCTGGTTCTCCTAGTGTGCTTCCTTTTGAGGCATCTGGTTGGTCACTGTGAGAGTAGGATGCTGGACTAGATGGGCCTTTGGCCTGATCCTGCAGCCAGGTTTTTCTGAAGTTTTTAAATTCAACATTTTCTCTGGCCCAGGGTTCACTTTTGCTCCCTTTCTCGAAGGATTTAGGTAAAAATATACATTTATGTGGGGGTTACGTTCTGAGACATCGCGCACATCAGTGAAATAACTGAACTCTGTTAAGAAAGACTGTAAACACCAGCTCTGCCCTTTTAGTGATGTTTCAGTGATGTCTTTATGACGCTTCCAGGTCACTTTTGGGTTCACTACATATTGAACGCACATAAATGGGGGGCTGCCTGTACTGTGATGTCAATGCTGACAGGAATATAATAATAATAATAATAATAATAATAATAATAATAATAATTTTTATTTATACCCCGCCCTCCCCAGCCAAGGCCGGACTCAAGGCGGCTTACAAGCAATAATAAAAACAAGTTGAATGATTACAACTTAAAAACAAAATTAAAATACAACATTAAAATATTGAAATATTAAAATATAGCCTCATCGCAGGAGGAGAAGGAAAAGAAAAAAGAGAGGGAGGGAATCAAATTGGCTCCAAGCCAAAGGCCAGGCGGAACAACTCTGTCTTACAGGCCCTGTGGAAAGAAATCAGATCCTGCAGGGCCCTGGTCTCATGAGGCAGAGATTCCACCAGGCCGGAGCCTGTCTTGCACCATGCCAGACTATTGGCCCATCTAGCGTAATATTCCCTCTACAGTGACTGATAGCAACCCTCAAGGGTTTCAGAGAGGAGTATTTCCCAGCCCTACCTGGAATTGAACCTGGAGCACTTGGCATGCAAAGCAGATGCTCTGCCACTTGGCTGTAAGTCTCTGTTTATTTTTGTCGTGCAGTCACTATTAATATCGTGAACTGATAGGTCCTTGTTTCAAATCTTGCCTCCTCAGCCATGAATTCACTAGGGAAACCGCCATCTCTCTTCTTGAAAATGGGGGTGCTTTTAATACTGACCTACCTTATGTGGTTGTTGTACAAATTAAAGAGACAATGTACAATATGTGAGGCAACTTGAACACTCTAAAATGCTATATAAATGCTAAGTATAGATACAATAGATGCCTATTGTATATATTATCCTACCATTCTTTTTCAAGAACAATTCAAATCCAGAGCTGCAACATGGAAACAGGAGAGTCAAGGCAAGATACATAAAAGGCAAATATCGGTCAGCCGACCCCCCGCCGTGTGTGTGTGTGTGTGTGTGTATGTATGTATATATATATATATATATATATATATATGCATGCCTTAAAGGCCTACATGAGACCGAGTGATAAAAAACAGTAATATTAACTTAAGACACAGCCTGAGAAAATGTGGGAGAGGAATCTGCAAAATAAATTTACGATTTTATAATATGTTTTAAGATAAATTTTCCAGTGCTGCATACCAATTGTAGAACAAATTTTAAGAACCACAATTATAAAAAAATCAGTCAAGAAGCGGAACAATTTAAGAATCACTATCTGCAATCAGGTCTACGGACAGATTAAAAGGTAGATTAAGGATGTAATCCTAAAGCGGGCCTGAGCACATGTAATTTAAGGAAAATGATACTTACTCTGCTTTGGTATGCATCCTTCCCGTAACTCTCTGGGTTGCTATTTGATTTTGGTGGTTGTGTATTATTAGCTGTAAGAAAAATAAAAGGAAACTGTCGGTCATAATATGTGAAACTGAATTTAAAAAAACCAAACCCTCTTGCTCAGAGTAGAACCACTGAAATTAATAAAACCAAGTTAGTCATGGTCATTGATTTCAATGGATCTACACTGTGAATGTAAGTTGAATACAATCCTTATAGTACAGAAGGGGTGGTGCAAGGGTGGAGGAGAGAACTACTGAAGATTATTCATCCACCTCATCCAATGCCCTCCTGCACACCACCTGGTAGGATGGGCCACAGCTGAGCTCTTGTCCTTTATTTTATTTTATTTTTTAAAATAACCAATATAGAGCCAGTGTGGTTAAAGACTAGGAGCTGGAAGACCTCGATTTAAACCCCAACTCAGCCATGAAACTCACTGGGTGACCTTGGGGCAATCAGTCTCTACTACACTACCCCACAGGAGTGTTGTGAGGCTAAAATGGGGAGGGGGCAGAACCATGTACAGCAGCTTGAGATCATTGGAGCAAAAGTCGAATATAAATGTAAGAATAAATGTAGAATAAATACATCTTTTGTCCTGCTGGAAACTGTGTGAAGGAAATAAAATCTAGGGCTAACGTAATTACCTAGAGGCATTAACTGGAGTGGGAAGCTGTTGGATCTGAGCTTTTGCTTGGTCCATCCCGGCACTCCTCTAATATTGGGAGGGCAAGTTTGGGTTCATGTTTGGGTTCCCTTACACCAGCTCTCCCTGTCTGGGGCAGAATCTCTCTCTCCGTTGGGAGAGAGAACTGGTGCTTCCTATAGCCTTTGGGGCACCCTCCCAGGAGCTACATAATTGTAAACCTGAGACCATTGAAAATGTCTGGGTAAATAAAAGTCTTTGCCTGATAAGGAAGAGGCAGTGTTTTGGTGACAAAACTGCAGAGAGAGTGTGCTAACACCAAAATGTCTCTCTACCTGGTCTCTATCTGCCTCTTCCAGGGCTGGATTTAGGTTTGATGAGGCCCTAAGCTACTGAAGTAATGGGGCCCTTTATATGTCCAGCTGTCCTTTGTCAACAACAAATTGTGACTGTTTTTTGTGTTGAATATATGCTATATGGTAATTTATGGACCTAATAGGTTTCTAACCAGTGATATTTTAGGGAGCAGTCTAGCAGACGGGGCCCATTACTTACATCATAGGAGCCTACACAACACAAAACACTTGTTGCTGTATGTAGGTTTTATTTTAATTGTTTTTTATCTTATATTTTGGAAATGTACATCCAGGTTTTTTTCCTTTAATTTTTTGGGGGGGTCTCATGAGAGTGGGGCCCTAAGCTATAGCTAGTTTAGCTTATACGTAAATCGGGCACTGGCCTCATCTCTTAAGATTTATCTTAACCTGTTAGAAGACACATGTGAACGTAGGCAGCCTCAGAGATATTTTATTGTTGTTTTATTACTTATTTAATTTATTAATGGCTTCTTATGAAATACATAAAAGCAATTTCACAATACAATGAAAACAGATTTAAGCTAAAACAACTGCACATATAAAAATTGTTAAAACAATAGTGATTTAAAGATTAAAACCAACAGCACTATGAATTGTGCTCAGAAACAGACAATAAGTTAAGTTCCAAAATTGGCAATACAGTGGTACCTCGGGTTACAAACACCTCGGGTTACAAAAACTTCAGGTTACAGTCTCCGCTAACCCGGAAGTAGTACCTCGGGTTAAGAACTTTGCCCCAGGATGAGAACAGAAATCACGCGGTGGCAGCAGTAGGAGGCCCCATTAGCTAAAGTGGTACCTCAGGTTAAGAACGGTTTCAGGTTAAGAACGGACCTCCGGAACGAATTAAGTTTGTAACCAGAGGTACCACTGTATATATTCCTGCCCAGCAATATAGTACTCTATTGTTATTTTTGGAACAGCTACATTTCCCAAGTAGTCTTCAGTGCCAGCCTCATGCACAGCCCATTGCAGTAGTCTAATTTGGAGAAAAGGACATGAAAGCAGAAAGTATAAGGAGATGGTGCCCACCTCCATACACTTCCATTTATCAACAAGCTAAGAGTGCAATTCTCCAGGAAGACCTCATATTATGTTAGCTCCTCTTCCACAGCTGCTGTTCATTTTAAGGGAGCTTGCTCAGAAGAATCTGCCAAAGGCTTGTGTCCTATATCAGTTATTTAATACCATGAAGGTACATGGCACCTCACAGAATAGCATAAGCAAAATGACAGTAAAACCCTTTAAAACTTTGACTGTGGACGGATAAATAAGGGACGGGTAAGAGAGACTCATACCAAGCAGTGAATGAGAGTCAAACATTATAAAGCTTTGTTTCAAGGAAATGAGGACTAATATAGGCCTTTGGCCCTCCAGACAGTGCTGGAATTCCAACCCCCATCAACCCCAGCCAGCATGGCCAATGGTGATGGGAGTGATGAGATGGTGATGGGAGCTGGAGGCCCACAATTTCCCTATCCTTGAATTAAGTGGTAAAACCAATGGACTGTATTCAAATGTTTTATTCAAAGTATAACCATTAAAATTAATGGATGTGCCTAGTTTAGGCCCATTAATTTCAGTGGGTCTGCTCTAAGTAGGACTTACTTGAATACAACCCAAAATAAGGCTAGATTTGAGTATCCCCCACTTCTATAATAAGTTTAACAATTACATCAGTCACTATGCTAACAGTTGAGCTTTAGATCTCGTTCACATTTTTGCCCAGGACCATCTCTTTGTTGCTTTGAAGTAGATTTAATGTGTATAATTAGAACTGTGTCCCCATCACACAAACAAGAATATCAACACGGCCTCTTTTTTATCACCCTGCAGAAGTCACAGACATAGACTAATTCATGTGACAAAGAGGATGTTAATGATGTAAAACAGGAGCAACTCTCAAGCAAGGAGGACAGGGTGAGCCAGAGGCAGTTTTCATGCTAATTTATTTTGCTTTGTAAACTAGCTGTGAGGTCTGAGCATCCCCCACCCCGCCATGTCTTGCCCCTTCCATCCATTGTCTTCAGTTCAGAGGCCTCTCTGCCATGTTAAGCAACAGACCCTCTTTTGACACCTCTTCCAGCTTTGATGTGCATCCCTGTCTCTTCCTTCTCTTCCTTTTATTTAGCAGTTATACTGCCGGAAAGAGTGACAATTTTCACAGCAAATAAAGAGGCCCGATCTTTGCTTTTATTGTGTTCAAAAGAAACACTCTGTGAATTTTATGGCCAATAGGAAAACTTCCCCCACCCCCTTCCCATCCCACACAATACTCAGGCTGAGTCACAGACTGGTAAAATAACAGGAGTATCCTAATACAGGTCAAACATCAGGTGAGTACTTTCATGGCATTTAGAACAGCCTGATTTCCACAAAAGATTACAAATGAACACTTAAATGGCTCTGCCCTCACATTTGCACATCGTAATAATTAATTTTGAAACAAGATAAAACAAAAACTTTTCTCACATGTTTTTTTAAAAAAGGGGCTACAGCCCACGAAACCACTGGGAATCACTATATTCCCCCACCACATGCCCCAAACACACACATATAAAAATGAATGGGAGAATGTTCCAATTGTTTTCTTTAAAAACACAAAATACAATTCAGCCCAAATAAAGCACTTTTAAATCCTGTTTATTTCAATGGAATACCTGTTGACTTTTCTGGGGCTGGTTGTACAAACTGTACAAGCAAAACAAAGTCTGAAAATTAGGCAAATTGCAACAAGTTGTTTTATACACACAATTCCTTGCTTATTTAAAAGAAGGTAGAGATTGAATGTTTCCCTCAAGAAAAATAACTTTACACATGATCTGAGACAATACCAAGATCCACAGGCAGAATCCACACAGAGCTTGAGGACATGTTTAACTCCCCCATAGCAAACAGATCAAATGTGCTTCATTTTGGCTAGATGGTACCCTATTTGCCTTATGATATTGAGTAAGTAAAGCAGTGGTACTAATTGTAAAGAACTAGGGAAAGCAAGGATGGTAAACCATTTATAGAGTCACATTCTCTTCTTGCAGGGCTGGTGGTGTTGTGCCAGTGGTGAGTGGGACCTGAGGTAACAGTAGACAGAGCAACAAATGTAAATTGTGCCTTTGAACTGTAGGCTTGTTTCTACATACACTCACACACCGCTCTCTATTTTTAAGTTTGGCAATCAAGAGGCATTATCAGAGATCAAGGACACCTTCCAGACAGGGTATGGAGCAGGGCTGCTGAGGGTTGTGGCTTAGGAGAGTCCTGAGGGCAGCCTGAGGAGAGTCTTGAGGGCCAGTATTAAAAGGGTTTGTAGAATGATTAAACAATTTAGGACTAGTTCAAATAGTGCATCCCACTCAAGCCTTTATAGATGCCTATAAAAATGTAATGCAGACATTGCTATTCTCATTAGAGCACTGAGTACATCTATAATTACCAGGTTTAACTGCTAATTTTTCCACACAGTGTTAGAGGGCCTTTTCAACAGAAGCACCAAAGTGGGGATCACCCTCTGAGGTATAACTTGCACCAACTTTGTACAGCTTTTGTCAACAGGTCAAGATGCACTTCCTTGCCTAGGCTTTTGGAGAGGTGAGGTGGGGTGACAATCCACTCTTTCTGCTGCTTCAATGTGCTGTTCCTTTTATTGTATATTTTCTGCAATTTTAAGGTATTTTATATTTGTGTGTTTTTACGTATCCCATCGTGGGGCTCCTTGGATGAAGAGTAGGCAATAAAAGTGATACAGTCACCTGCCCTGCTCCTGGATCTGATTGGTTCGGGTGGAGGGGCAGGAAGTGCTTCTTGCTCCCCCACCTTCTACCCAAACCAATCAGATCCAGGAGCAGAGGAGGAACTACTCTTTTTCAAAAGGCAAGACAGAAATAACCTATATAACAGTTTGCTAAGAACTATAACATGAAGAGCCCATGCTTGAGCTTGTTTTTCCCTTTCTCTGCCCGTTCATTTCCCCTAGTGTGTCAATGTCTTGAGCCTAAGGACAGGAACTGTATTAGTACTGAGCTTGGTAAATTGCCTTGGGAGATTCCCCCCCCCCCAAAGGGCAGGGTATAAATGCAACAAACAAACAAACAAAGTTGAAAAAGAAATATTTAGTCATAGAATTGAAGAGATGGAAGGGACCCTGAGGATCATCTAGTCCAATCCCCTACAATGTAGGAATATGCAGCTGCCCCATATGGGGATCAAAATTGCAACCTTGGCATTATCAGCTATAACCCACTAAGCTATCCACGAATTTGTTTATTTTCAGTTAATAAAAATTAAATCCTCTTGATAGTAAGAAAACCGCTGTGTGATTTACAAAAATACAAATATATATATATATATATATATATATATATATATATATATATGTTTAAAGCAGATGTTGAAAAACATTCAAATGCTTATTAAAATAAAAAAAAAGCTAAAAATAAATGAAACACATGTAACGTCTACATTTCTGGATAGGCTTTCCCAAACAAAAATGTATTTGACTGACACCGAAAAGAGAACAGTGCAGTGAACTGGCCCCAAGCTATTAAGCGACTACTGTAATTGTAACCCCTTGAAATTGGCCCGGTTTCAAATGGGAAACCAGTGCAGATCTGAAGAGAAGCGTATGCAGACAGGATCTAACTCCTGTAAGCAACCATGCTGGAGAATTCTTCACAAACTGTAGTTTCTGGATCAGGTGCCAGGGAAGTCCCACAAAGAGTGCACTGCAGTAATCCAACTTTGAAGTCACCAGTGCTGGAACTATTGTGGTCAAGCTCTGCAGGCTGAGGAATGGCTGTAGCTGTCACCCCATTCACAGTTGGTAAAAGGTGCTTCTAGCCACTAAGGCTATTGGAGCCTCCAGTGACTTGCACTGGATCCAGAAGCATTTGCTGCACTGTGTACCTGCTTCTTCAAGGGGAGAGTAACCATGTCAAGGAATGCAACAATAGCCCATATTCTCAGCCACAGGAACCACTCACCCAGTGCCTCCATCTTGCCAGGATTCAAGCTTAGCTTATCTCACCTCATCCCAACACCAGTCCAAAGCCTACATGACATCTCCTACTTCAGATGTTATGGAGAAATAGAGCTGAGTGTCATCAACGTACTGATGGCACCTTAACACAAAACTCCAAATGGCTGGCCACAGTAGCTTCATATAGATATTAAATCACACTGGGGATAGAATGCTATTCTTTATGTAGAATATTGTGGAATGCTCTCCACAAGAAGGATTGCCTGCCACATTTGTTACAAATCTTTAGGCGCCGGGGAAAACATTCCTCTTCTCCCCAACCTTTGGCTAGTTAAACAATCTATGGCCTTTACAACTGTGTGTTGGTGGTGGTGGGATCATTATTTTTGTTTGTTACTATCTTATCTATTTGTTGTGTTTTTATATTGTTAACCGCCTTGTGATCCTCAGGTGAAGGGCAGTATATGAAAGAAAGAAAGAAAGAAAGAAAGAAAGAAAGAAAGAAAGAAAGAAAGAATAGTATTGGGGATACAACAGTGCCCTGCAGCACCTAGCATAACTGCGAGGAAGCCAGAAAGCACTCTACCACTACTATTTGTCCCCTTAGGTAGGATTCGAACCCCTGGGACACAGGGCCCTCAATTCCCATTCAACTGAGTCAGTCCAGAAGGATACCATCATCAATGGTACTGAAAGTCACAGAGAAATCAAGGAGCACAGTCACACCCCCTTTATTTCTCTCTCTGTATAGTTCATTATCAGGACAACATACATAGAATGGTAGAGCTGGAAGGGACCCAAAGGGTCATCTAGTCCAACCCCCTGCAATGCAGGAATGTGTACACATACAGACTACTACTGTCAAGAAAGCGAGCGTATGCAGGAGTGCGTATCCTGGCACTCTCCAGAATATATGTATACATCTGTATTTCAGTCAATCAAGACACATACATCAGACATGCCAAATTTTCTGGTTTGGAAATACCTATGCGTATTTTGTTTTTTTCTGAACAGGTAAAACAAGAACAAGAGAGAAGTACCGTGTTGTTTACACAGATCATCAGCGATTAGAACTAGAGAAGGAATTTCATTACAATAGATATATTACAATCAGGAGAAAGTCTGAACTTGCTGCAAACCTGAGACTTTCAGAGAGACAGGTAGAGTATGGTTTCCAATACAAAAGAGGTAAATTACTGGACCAAATTTGGGTGGTGTTAAAACAAAAACTGCAAAGCTTTCAAGGGAGGTATGTGTAAAATGGCTCAGTTCAACTCACCACGACTATTTACTTTAATAATGTTTTATAAATAAGTGGTCTAAATGTTTTTATTATTTATAAATAGACAAAAATTGCCATGAACAAGGTATTAAGCACACCTTATTGAGTCTGCTCAGATTTTAAAAGGTGACTCTGTATAGTTATTTTTAAGGTTTTAAGCTTGAAATGGGAGTAAAAACTTGTGGAATGCATGAAGTATGCTTTAAGAAAAGCTAACTAGCATGCTGGCTGTGGTTGATTGGAGTTGTCGTCCAACATACCTGGACGGCATCAGGTTTGCAAAGGCTGCATTAAGGTTGGAAAGATAGGTATGCACCTTAGACCAGGTCACACTGTTTATCTCACCCTTTACCCTGAGAGGCAGCAGTAGGGAACTTTCCCATCACTTGCTACCTGTGTCAGGGACTGAATCTGAGCCTTTATGCATGCAAAGTACATGCTCTGTGCTGAACTACTGTATGAGTCCCCCTCTCCCCGAGTTGTTGCCAACTTATCAGAGAAAAACCAGCACAGCCTGCTCCTGTCTCTTTAACTGTAGTTTGATATGCAGTTGTCATTAGATGAAGCTTTTCATGGCAGGCATATAAGATATCAATATTTCAAAAATGAGAAATCTATTGTGTGCTTGATAACACTACTATTCTCACAGTAAGAATTAGTGGCACACTACATACCTGCCCCCTCATTTCAGGCAATACTGTAATTCTCTCAACTTCTGATTCACTTGGACTTAGTTTGTCTTGCCCGTATAATATCTCTCACAGAGCCTGGGAGGCAAGAGCAGTACTTTTTTCTGGGGGTACATGGGGATACACATACCCCTAAATATTTTGTGAATCTATGTTTGGGCTCATCGAGGAGCAGTATTTCAATATGAGTAGGAAAAAACATTTTTTAAGAAAAAAAGCACTGGGCAAGAGTATCCAGTTGTTAAGACACATGAGCAGAAACATATCTAGAAGTGGTGCTATCTTGGTGGCACAAGCTGCCACCACAATTTGAGTAAGTTCACTCAAAAGTTAATGAGGGTGGTGCGTCTGTAATGCTAGGTGAGGGTACTAAAGATGGCACTGCTTGCTTGCACAGACACATTGCACACAACTTCTTAGAAGCACAATGTATGTGCCTTTCTGTCTGATGTCACAGTCTGTCAACAAATGTAAAGGGTGGCAAATACATCCATTTTGTTGTTTTGCTGCCCCTCACATTGGACCCAAATGTGCAACACACACCTTCCCAGTGATTTAATTAGAGAAAGCCATACAAAGAAGGACATATGCATTTATAATTTAGTGGTAAGCAACTGAAACCATTATATTATTTGCCCTTGTAGGTAAAAATCTGGTTCCAGAACCGAAGAGCCAAAGAAAGAAAATTAATGAAGAAGAAAATGACAAGTTTTGATGGCAGCAGCCTCAGTTCCATCCAGAGTGACTCAGGTTCAATGAGTCCCATCCCAATGCCTGACCCACAGACTCATTCAGAAATGGCTGGTACTTTATTCCCACCACCTCCACCACCTGCTCCTCTTCCAATGAATGGCTTACAGCACAATGGAAATCTCCAGCAAGTTGTGGCATCTCAGTAAGGTCATTGCGTTAAAGGAAGAACATGATAAAGCATGGGTACATGGAGCACTACAGTTCACAACGGGAATGCCAAAGCTGTTTGCAAGAGACCCAACTCTGCAGCCCCAGCATCACAACAGCCATTTGTAAAATACTGAGAACTTCACATCACATCAAGGCCTGGGAGAAAACAGCAAAACATCCTTTGGCAAGGTCACTTGTGATATGGCAAAAGCTCTTTGGGAACCTTGTGTTCTTGACTGCAAAGGTGGTCTGGAAATAGGGGCAGAAAGAAAGGGGGTTATGGCCGGAAAAACTTTTTTGGAATAAATGCCCCAAATCTGCAGCCCCATACTTTGCTTGATTTGAGACTGAATAATTTTTACACAGAGCAATTCCAGTAATTTGTTCTTTCTAGAATGTTTTTATTCTGTTCTCTTAACAGGGTGGAGCTAATGACAATTACAAGGAAACGAAGGGTTACACTGAGTCAGTGTAGCTTGTTGTCAGGAGTGGGCATATGCTGTCTTTCTGCAGAAGTACAGGAAAAGTAGACAGTGCAGTATTAGGCACAAAATTCAGCTTCCTAAGAACAACTTTCATTTTAAACAGAAGTTCCTAGTCCTTATGGCTAAAAAGTTATGCCTGAAGGTGCACAGGCAATGCCTGATAAAATTTCAGAACCTAGACACATAGCTAAGAAAGATTTCCAGTGCTTGAGGGCAAACTCCTTGTTCTTTGTCATCACCAGCAATAAATTTTGCAAAATAAGGACACTGTGCAAATTTGCTGAGTTTGCACAATGGCTTGTCCAAATGCAGATGTTGCTTTTTAGTGTGGAGGTTACACACCAGCCAACTTTTTGCTGATTGGATGTTTCCAGTGTAAAATTTCCGGATGTTTGAATCCATGGGGAAATTGCGGGGGGGGGGGGGATCGGTTTGCCATTAAATTATTGTGTTTGGTATATTAAAAGTTAATAATTTTGGGTTAATAATTACAAATCGAATTTACTTCTTAATATTTTTTTTTAATTACAAATGGAGCTACAACTGCTGAACTGTAATCAACCTAGCATTCCCCCCCCCCATTTTTCCAGTTTATAAGGAAAAGGTGGAACCTCCCCACTCCCAGGAACAGGAGAAACTGCCAACATTATAGTAAAAGAAAATGTTTGTGTAATCTGAAAATTATTCAAGTAAGTCCTATTCAGAGTAGACCCACTGAAAGTAATGTAGCTAAGTTAGTATTGGGTGTACCGTGAGCAGGGTTAGCACTGACTACCACCCTGTGTCTCCTACAGTCCTCCACAATGTGAAGCAGACATAAAGCATTCATATCCACAAACAGAACTGTGACAAAGCAAAGAGGGATATTACATGAATTTTAATCAACCTCTTTTTCTGAGCCACCACAATCAGTTTCTGTTTCTTCATATTTGTCATTGTATTTATCATGGACTTCTAAAAGCTGAAGGTTTGCCCAGGTTGAAACAAACTTATCTATCCTTTCACATGTCCTGGGGAGGGGAAAGGCTTGGATGGGGCGGGTAGAAGAAACAAAACTGTTTTATTTTTTTTCCTGGGTCTTCACATCTCCAACTTGAAGCCATGAAATAAGTTTGATGGCACATCACCAGCTTCTGTTCCATTCCATTGTTTAATTCAAGATTCCTGTGGTTTTAATTTTGTACTTATTTCATATCTGCACGGGAGCTTATGATTTCATGTCTTGATATTCTCAGCTAAATGACATCAGGGTTGCTCTGGACACCAGAATTAATAGAGTAGGGGATGTACTCTTCAAGTTCTGATTTTTAAATTATTAACTAAAATCTACTTCTAAAATTCAATTGAACAGGAGAGACTCTTGTGCAAAAAGGGGTTACACATACCTAGTTATATGCACCTAGATGCAGCAGCTGCCAAAAGGAGGCAAGGATGTGTATTTCCAATGGCACTTTAAGACAAATGAGAAGCCACATTTCCATCCATATTTCGCAGCACTAAATGTGCTACTCATCTGGACCTAATCTGCACCCACAAAAGCTGAGTTCAGATTATCAGTTTTAAACTATGGCTTAGATCAGGGATGAGGAACCTGTGGTTTTCAGATGTTGCGGGGTTTCAACATTCATTATCCCTGACCACTGACCATGCTGGCTGGGACTCATGGGAGCTGGATTCCAACAACACCTGGAGGGTCACATGTTCTCTATCCTGGTTTGGAGGGAAATTAGCTGCAGTAAGATTCCAGTATAGTGGTACCTCGGGTTAAGAACTTAATTCGTTCTGGAGGTCTGTTCTTAACATGAAACTGTTCTTAACCTGAAGCACCACTTTAGCTAATGGGGCCTACTTCTGCCGCTGATTTAAATTAGTATTTGAAACAGGCCAGTGTGTTGGAAGCTGCATGTTCAGTTCTCAGTTTAATATTAAAAATATAAGAGCTTGACTGCTGAATCAGACCAAAAGCCTGTCTAGTCCAGCACTGTGTTCTCACAGCAGCCAACGAAATGCCATGGGAAAACTGCAAGCTAGAGTGCAACCCCTCTTTCCCTGCCTGTGATCCACTGACCCAATTGTAGGGTACTCACTGGTGGAGGAAGAGGGGGCAGGGGGAGCGCACCGCCCCCGGCAACACAATCCTGGTGGGGTTCCATTGCGGCTGTCCCCCTGCCTGCGCTGGGCGCCCCGCCCACACAGGTGGCGCGCCCTGCCCCCAGAACGCACACCATGCCCCTGCGGGCGGCGTGCCATGCCCCTGGGACATGCACCTGCCCCACTCCCGCCTGCTCTTCGCCCCTGGTGCCAGAGCATGAAGCTCCGCCACTGGGGGTACTCTGTCAGTAACCAGGACAAGGACATAGTGCCAGGCTCTTAGTAGCTGTAGAAGACCTGGCAGTACCAAAGGCCTGCTGCCACTTAATCTCAGGGACTGATGCTGAATGCTACTATTTCTTTCAGTACCTGAAAAGGGTTCTGTGACTTGAGTGTACCTAATCCCTGGTACCTGCCTCAGACCATGAGTTCCCACTTCAAGCCTTGACATATCCCAATATTCAAGAACCATACATCCCTCATATTCATTTGAGACATGCCAAGCTATGGTTTGCACTATCATTTGGAAACTTAACCAGGATTTGTGTGCTAAATGTAGACCATACAATGTTATAACCTGTTAGTGTAATCCTATAAATAGTATCTGTCTACCGAAGAAAAATCATGGCTCAGGGCTGTAGGTGTGCTTTCACATTCTGTCTGCTCAGCTTCATAAATTTACTCCCCACTCGTAGTGCAGCAGCTTCTGGACAAAACGGTGTCTTGCCATTTCAGACACCACACAGAAGCAAAAGCACTGCCTACAGAGAAATGCTATACTCAGAAGTAAATCACTGTCGTGGCCACTTTCATGTCGCCCTGGAGGAAACATGTAATCAAATAAGAGGGCACAGATTTGCATGTTCTGATTTACACGTATAGATGCAAATTAATAAATAATTATCATTTAAAATACAACTCTGGCGCATATTTCCATAGTGGGAATGAGTGTGACCAGGTGATCTGTGTTCCTGCTCAGTCTGTAGTCTAAGCCTTGCATTCCTTTCTAATGGTATCTTTAAACAGATACATTATTTTATCCCCTGGAGTTAATAGTTTTATGGTGTTATCACTCTTCATATGCACTCCTTTACCTCAAAATGTGATAAGGCTCTCTTGCTGCTTTTGAGGGCCCTCCTGCTCATTCTGCTGAGTGGGGTCCTGTACCTCTGCCCCAAAATCTGGCCCAGGTGGTACCACTGACCAAACATGGATTGGATAACACCTTGAGACTGTCCTCTATAAAGTATGAAACATGAGGACCCTATAAGCACCATTACATTCAATGGGATTTACTAAATAGGTATAGGATTGCAGCCTCAAGCTTTCTTCACCGTGGTTTGACATGTTATCTGAATTGAACCTAAGTTAACTGCATGTATTTGATTTGTTAAGATGTTACAAAGGAAAATCCTTAAATTTGATATACAAGAGCAGATGAAATCAATTTCAGATTTACCAAAGTCTGCCAAAACGTTTGATTTACTGGTAATATTTGCACAGATTTCTATGCAGGTTGTTGATGAAAGAAGCTTACCCTGTTTGCATCCAAAGCCATCTTTAAAAAGTCATAGGTTGAGGTCCAAACTAGAACGCCACATACTTACCTGTATCTTTCTGTTATGCTTCAAACAAAAAAAAATAAAAATAAAAAATGAGAAGTTTCAAGTTTAAATGGAGAAATAATGCAGGAATGGGCTGCTTAACCTTTTTCTCCTCTAGCTATTTTTATTGTTAGAAGCACACTGCTCTGGGACAAAGGCAGCTTGAGGAGAGCAATTATGAGGAGAAAAGTTAGCAGAGAGGAAAGAATTAAACAGCTGGGGTCCAACCCAATAGCCCAGTCCACTACAACAAGAGATTATTCTTTTTTTTAAAACAATTTTTTTTTTTTTACAATAATGGGGGCAAACTACTAAAAACTATCACATGTTGGGCCACCCAGATTGGTGATTTTTCTGCAGGTGTATTCTGCAATATGTCATTGACACAGCAAAAGTGCATTAAGGGTAGATTTATATTGGGCTGTCCACATCTCATTCTGCTTTATTAGTTGATGTTTCCCATTATTGCTATCTGGAGTGCACTCTTAAACTGTAATGCAACTTACCGGTAGGTTTGACCAGTGCTCTTTTAGGGTACTCAAGGGTACTCAGTACCAGCACCTCTTTTGTTGTTAAAAAGTGTGACACTTACTGTAACAAGTTCATGGTGAGTACTGGCATCTATTTTTCTAGGAAAAAAGCACTGAGTTTGACAAAAGTTTTGTGGTATAAAAAGTTACTAGATTTCAGTAGGAAGTTACAGGACACACACTGATTGGAAATGAAGCAGTATGTTGGCCCCAAAACTTTTGCAGACACCAACAGTATTGAAAGCTAGTTTGAATGTAACTATCCCATTACCATCATGAGCACAAA